GAACTGGGTATTGTTGGTATGCAGCAAGTCGGTGCAAATTGGTTACAGACACATTTCTTGCAGGAGTTTTCTGTCTTCCAGTGAGAAAACCTAACCTCCTTTATAGCATGATGCCTATTTTCTGGAGAAACAGAAAAGCCATTCTTTAATTCCATAATCCAGCAGAGGAGACCTAGAGAGGGAATAGGGGCCACAGTTAAAAAGACACTCTCACTTCAAAGTATTTGCTTCACCTACGTGGAAAACCATGCAGAAAATATTCAAATACAACTCTGCACTTCTCATGTCTTTCTTCCTTTCAGTCTCTAAGGAAAAATCTGTGTATTGCATTAAATTCACAAATATCTGTTGTCAATCATATCTGTTAATCAGGAAGTTAAGCATAAATATGATGGTGTGTGTGTGTGTGTGTGTGCACGTGTGTGTAAAATATCACTGGACTGGAATTGAGGTAGAGACAATGACTCAGCTGGTCTAGTGGTTCAAGGCAATGACATATTCTTGCAAAGTATGAAAAATTTTTAAAAAATCTGTGTGGGAGAGAACCCAGTAAAAGTGAAGGACTGGATAGTTGGTGTTTGGATCTGAGTTAAGGAATTGAATTAAAACATTTAGACATGTTAGGAGACTATTATATAATTAGAGCAAAACAGCAATTTCTCCTAGAACTCCAAAGTCTTAGTTCCTGGGGTATGCTTTCCTGAGGAAGTGTTAACTACACTGATAACTGATGGACGAGAATTCACTAAGAAGTGGAAGAGGGAATTGAGCAGAGAAAATATTTCTAGTTCATAGGAACAGAGGATGCAGAGCCTGTGTAATGGGATTATATAGGTCCATGTGGTTGATTTTAATGAGTTTTGTCTTCATCCTAGAAACAATGGGAAGAAACAGGGATTTTAAGCTGCAGTGTAGCATGATTGAATTTGAATTTCAAAAATATCACTCTGGCTGCACTGTCAAAAATTATTAAAGGCAGCAAGTACATTTGTAATCAGATCAGTTAGGTTATCACTGGTGTCCAGGTTGAAGACACTGTTATCTTGTATCATGTTGTTAGTGACTGCTTGGAGCAGGTCAACTTTCTAAGTGTTTAATAGCATTAGTTTTCAGAAATAGCTACCAAACCTATTTTTCTTCCCCTTCACATGTAATGTGTTAATTAAGATGTTTATAATATTTTATATAACTTTTTCTATAATTATTTCCTCTTCACCAATGGACCTCAGTGCTTTTCCTTCGGAAAACATGTGACTGATCAATACAAAGTGGGGCAACAGTAGGTTTACTGTTGTGAGTACGCAGAACAGTTTATTCTTGTATTATTATTTATGAATTATTGTATTATTTTCCATTTGAACAACTGTAGACTTACCTTTTCCCCATTAATAAGATGTGGTTGAGTAGTAGTGATTGACACCCTAAGCTTTTTTATGTTTAATAAGCTTGTCCATGTATATTTTCTTCTTTTTAAAATATACTTTTTAGCCGAAACCGGCTTGGCTCAGTGGATAGAGCGTCGGCCTGCGGACTGAAAGGTCCCAGGTTCAATTCCGGTCAAGGGCATGTATCTGGGTTGCGGGCACATCCCCAGTGGGGGATGTGCAGGAGGCAGCTGATCGATGTTTCTCTCCCATCGATGTTTCTGACTCTCTATCTCTCTCCCTTCCCCTCTGTAAAAAATCAATAAAATATATTTAAAAAAAATATATACTTTTTAATTGATTTCAGAGAGGAAGGGAGAGGAAGAGAGAGATAGAAACATCAGTGATAAGAAGGAATCATTGATCAGCTGTCTCCTGCATGCCCCACACTGAGGTTTGAGCCCACAACTGGGGCATTCCCCTGACCGGGAATCAAACTGTGACCTCTTGGTTTATAGGTTGACACGCAACCACTGAGTCATGCTGGCTGGGCAACAACCAATTCTTCCACGTATATTTTCTAAGTTGGCCTTTACCAGGGGGCTCTGTGCAGAAGTAGGTAGGGGGAGTAAGGACTTCTACATAGTTTGAGAAGTCCTCTGTTAATTCCTTGTGGTGGCACTTAGGTGGGCAGGGAGGGTGGAGGTTATTAACATGTCTCAATTTTTTATATTGTTATTGCTTCCAATTACTTGCATTTTATTCCTTCTATATTTAGGATCATCTACAAACTTACCACCACTACCACTCTCTGCCCTCATCTGTTATATTATAGAAGTTTCCAGTTATTAATCTTTAATATATATGACAAATATTTATAGAGTATGCTAGTATTTTGCTTCTTGGTCTCACACATAGTAACTCTTTCATTTTCTAATAGTCCTCACAGGGAAATGTTTAAAAAGGTGTTTTGGTATTCTAAATATACTACAAATTCAGAATTCTTCTGGTCAATAAGCTTGTTGTCCTTGGCAAAATGTATTGTCTACCTAGGTCATTCTCTCTGTGACCACCACTATCATTACGATGGCCATGGTTGATGTAGTCATCTTTACCTTTTCTTGGTTTAGTCATTTTTTAATGTTTAATAAACTCTTTCATGTATATTTTCTAAGTTTACCTTTACCATAAATCTCTAAGGCTCTATCTTCCTCTCCCTTTCTGAACCTCTCTCTTTCCTTTCAGACACTCAATTCTTGGAGTAAACTGATCTTCTACTAGGGACTAGTTTCTATTCTTTGTAGCAAAAATGGATAAGCTCTTTCTCCAGGTGCTCAGTCTTCCCATCTCTCAACCCTCTATGTTCCATTTCTAAACATACTGTAACTTCCTCCTACTGGGATGACTGTGCCCAGTGTGAGAAGTTCTCCTCTGAGGTGACAAAATAGAAATAAGCAGGGAAGAAAAGGCCTCATTTGTGTTAGCTAATAAGAGTAAGCATTGGTATTCTCCCTCGTGTTTGAAAACAACATTCTTTATTCATATATCTGTATCTCCATGGATGTTCCTGGGTTTGTTGATAGCTGTTTATTGTGTTTTACTGTGGGCTTCTATGTTAGCAAATGACATGCGGTGATAAATCCAGTTATTGTCAACATAACTCCTTTCTCTTTGGCTACATTGCTTGGAGATGGCTCTATCTAAATACTCTGGCCAATTCACAGGAGCTCCATCACTCACACAAATCACTTTAGTTACTTTCACTGTGAACCCTCTTTCAGCATAACCAGGAGCTGACTCACTTACCTCTGCCTAGCATCTGAGAAATCGTTTGCGAAGAACTGCAATCGGATGCCACAGACTGCAACCTGAATGTGACTGCATTCTCAACAGCCAGGGCCAAGGAGTTATACTGAACTCTAGTCCCTTGGGAAGGATCTCCACACAGTGGGTTGTGTCCCTGGGCAGAAAATTTCCATATCTCTGAGGATCAAGCTCTATGATTCTGGTCAGAGATACCTTCTGGTTATAGATGATTTGGAATTTGCATTCTGCAGCAAGTATCCTCCCCAAATAAGTCCCAGGAGTCTAATCAGTCAGAGGCATAATAGCCAATACTTTAAACTTCACTATGGCACCACCTGAATAGCTACTTATGAAAGGCAGGCATAGAATTTGCATCCTGCCGCAAGTATCCTCCCCAAATAAGTTCCAGGAGTCTAGTCACTATGGTACCACCTGAATAGCTACTTATGAAAGGCAGGCAGTGAACACAGGGCAAGAGCACCATAGAAAAACCCCACTATCTCCTCAGAAATATATGTACACTCAGTAAATGGCAGAGCCAAAATTCTAATGTAAGTTTCCAAATCCTGAGCTATCCCTGTTTTAAGAATTGCATTAGATAATTTGTTGTGAGAATATAGTGCTTTGAATATTATGTATAATATTAATAAAAACATGAAGATAAATATAATTACACAAAGGAAAACCAGCTTATCATACATACTAAGAACATGAATTTTTTGTCCACTTATTTGTTCTGAGACCTTGGCCAATTTAATTTGCCATTTGAAGCCTTGATTTTCTTACAGGAAAAATGAGAAAAATTATATTGACTTACTAGAGGCCCGGTGCATGAAATTCCTGCGTGGGTGTGTGTGTGTGTGTGTGTGTGTGTGTGTCCCTCAGCCCAGCCTGCACCCTCTCCAATCTGGGACATCCCTCTCACAATCCAGGACTGCTCACCTGCCTGCCTGCCTGATTGGCCCTAACCACTTCTGCCTGCGAGCCTGATCACCCCCTAACCACTCCCCTGCCAGCCTGATCGACGCCTAACTGCTCCCCTGCTGGCCCAATTGCCCCCAACTGCCCTCCACTGCCAGCCTGGTTGCCCCTAACTGTCCCTCCCTGCAGGCCTGGTCACCTCCAACTGCCCTCTTTTTCAGGCCTGGTCCCTCCCAACTGCCCTCCCCTGCTGGCCAGCTTGTGTTCACATGGGGGTGGCCAACTTTGACCACATGGGGGCAGCCATCTTGTGTGTTGGAGTGATGGTCAATTTGCATATTACCTCTTTATTAGATAGAACAGGATTGTTTTTAGTGATATAATAGGATAATGCCTAGAAAGTAGCCAGCAACTGTTTATTATAAATTAAAAAATAAGCAAATATCTTCCCTGTGATAATAGCTGAGCAATGTTGAACACATATCTTAACTTCTCTGAGGCTTATGTTACTCCTATAGATTCAAAAGGATAATGAAAATGACCATACACAATTCACATGTCCCCCCCCACCACCCCGCCCCAATTAAGTGAGATAATGCATTTAACTAAAACAGCAGCATTTAAAAAGAGATCCAAACTATTATTAAAATGGATATCACCTTTATTACTTATATGAAACAGATGTGTTTTTTTGGTGTTGATTTTGAATAGAAAAACTCTAGCTACTTTTTAGTTCACTAGATTGCTCATATAAACAATTTGTTTAAGAATGTATTTAATTTCACCACTAGATGTCAGTAGTGCTCATATGACAAGCAAATATTCCTTGACCCAACCTACATTTACTAAGCTTTTCCCATGAGTTA